GAGAGAGAGAGAGAGAGAGACCAAGAGAGACCGAGAGAGACCGAGAGGGAGACGGCGAGACAGAGAGAGGGAGCGAGAGAGGGGGGGAGGAGAAGCACCTGCAAGAACGCATGTCCCCACGTTCGGCCTCCCTCCGCCCCCCACTCTTCCCCGAACTTGGCTCCAGGCTTCTTCACCAGCTGATCATCGGTCACCTCCTGGCCCTGGTACTCAGAGAAGAACCTGGCTTTGGCGAGATGGAACGAGGATCCTCCAGTGCTCCTGTGTTCACGACAAGTCCAGAAGTTTAGGGAATGGCGTGAAGAGGTAGACGCTTTAAATGCAAGCTTCGCCACCAACTTGATTTCCATGGCAAATTCTCACTTGCATTCGGGGCTGTTTAGGGGGGGCCATGATCCCTTGAACGCCGCACACATCTGTTTTCTGACGATAAGGCAATACCCAGGTCAGACGAATGCGGAAGCCCACATGTCTCCCACCTCTTGCCCGCGGCCAAAGGTGCCACAGGAGCCACAGGAGCCTTGCCCACACGAAGGGCAATTCCACTGAAGCGGCGCGCCAACCTTGAGTCTTTTGGCTCTTGGGCAGCTAGACACCGGTTTTACTTTCCGTGCTCTCTGACCGAGCCGGCAGCTCGCACGCGACGCAACCACGGCTGATTCACCAAACCGCTTGAAAACATCTCTACACTGCGTGAAGGTTGGTCAACTCCACGTAACCGAGTCTGGCTTTAGATTGGTTGCCAGCTGAACCGTAACCAAGAGCATGTAACCACCCTGAAAACTGACACAGTATCATAGACAAACCAGCTCAGCACATGCTGGTCTACCCGGGCCTAACACTCGTAAACCAGCAAGGACGATTGGCCACACAACTTGAGAAGTCCGATGTGCTGACGTGCTGTCACTCTCTGCCATTGTTTAGGGCATCAGCTTCCGCTGCTGCCGCAACTTTATATATCTCTGCAAACTTCGTGCCCGTTTGGTTTTGCCAATCCGATCACGGCGGCTGTGGTTCTTTCCTTCTTCTTACTTCATTTGGTCAGTGCGCCGCGCACACCAGCCGTGCTTTTAGGTGACTGAAAGCTATAAAAACGAAGCAACCGGAGGACGTCCTCTGCCATCTTTGATTTGTCATGGTGCTACTCTTTGCTTCTGCATCAACAGGGATCGGGTAACGGGCAAGAACCTCACCGTGGTTTCCAGCGGCTCCAGCATCGTCTGAAGATGCACTGAATCATGTCTGCAACCCCCCTCCGCCTTTTTTCTTCTTCCATTCTGCCAACAAAAAGCATGTAAGCCCACTCGCCGCGCGCAGCCATGTATCCGGGTCTGCTCACTTCATGACTCAACGACAAGATGAAGCGAAATCGGTACGCACTGCTGCAGTCTTGCAGCCCTTTTCGTTTTCATCTTTCTCTCACTCTTCGTCTCCTTTTCAGTTTATGGGATTGGTCAAGGAACCCTTTATGCACTGGGTGCGTTCCGATTCATGGTGTTTGAGGGCATGTTTTTTGCGTTCTTCTCTTCAACACACAAGGCTGTCTATTCAGGCAACCTTGAGGCTGAACGGGTCCAGGATCGAATTCTCTGTCCAGCAATCTGTCTTTACCGATGGGATCCTGCGTTTGCTCTCAGCCTTTCTTGCTGTCTTCTTCGAGCATGATCGGAATCGAATTTCTTTCTGTGGCAAAGCCGCGCCGATTCAACGCCTTAGAACCTGGAAACTGTACAGTATTTATGCACAGGAGCCCTTTCCTCTCGCTTCTCATCGAAATTGGGGGGTTGCCCCTTGGGGCACCAGTGCGCACCTGCTTGGCATACAATACGGATCCTTCCTGCCACGTTCTCTCTTTGGTTTGCTCTGCTACTTGTATGTTGCATAAGGCGCCAGCAGTCCTGATCGCTCAGTCGAGCCGCCCTATCCAGCGTTTTGTTAGATGGGCTGAAGCCACTGCAGGTCATAGGTCAGGTGAGTAGATTTCAACTGTGTTGCAGCACATTTCGTCTGTTGTGAGCGGAAAGACCAGCCGTCGTTGACCTGAACGGTCGAGCCTGCCGAAACGCTCCAGGGGGCGCTCGATGCTTGGGATCTGCAAGGCAGAATCCACCACGCGTGCATTCTTCCGCATGTTGCGTGTGAGCAGGTCGGTTTGTGTCATACTACTCGCATCGAACAGCATAAGTGTTGTTCCCTTCCACTTTCCGGTAAGCCGCAGAATCAAGTACCATGAAGACTGGATCGTCTTAAGCACGAGCTGGCTGTAGGAAGAAAAGGCATGTCCGCTGTCGAATACTCTCTACGAATTGCGACTAAAACCAAAAAATGCAACACCAAAGCTGAAAACCAAAAAGCGCGTCAGACAAACTGTCTACTTGCTTCTCTCCCTCTCTCGCCATTCGGAGCGGTGAAAACTCACATGTCCCTAGCGGTCAAAACATGCAGATGGCCACTGCATGGGCTAAAGCCAAGATTATGCCTGTATTAATTTGCTTGCTCTCTGACTCCGTGAAATCCAGGGGACATAGCAACAAAAGTATATACGGAAGCCCCCGTTGCTGTCTTGGTGAAGCCTTGCGAGAACAGTTAGGTCGTCCCAGACACGCCAAGTGGCATGGTACTTGGTCGAGTCGATCCGCAGAACTCGAGGAAGAAGCTGGGAGCTCGGAGCCCACTAGCTGCGCAGATTCCCGGGATCGGGAAAGTCTGAATGATACAATTGCGCCAACGTGCCCGTGCGCTATAGTCGCAGACAGGTCGGAATGAAAAAGGTCTTGCCTCGCAAGTTTTCGTCCCACTCCGTGCTCTCAAGACCGCCACCGCACTCATGCGAACTCCTGGCTACTGGAGCGGCACTTCCGTGCCACCAGCATAACGGCCGCTGTGGGAGCTGTTCGAGTCACAGGGAGACATGGTCCGCCGAGGACCGGATCAGTTCTGTGTGACTTGGAGATGTTGAAGCTTGTGAGTCAGATTGTTCGGCAGAATGCATGAAGTTAACCGCATCGGCACATGAGTTCACCAGCCGGCTTAGCACATAGCAATCCAGCATGAAACCGGGCAGCTCCGAGAACTAGCCACACATTGGAAAGCTGCCGCTTCGTTGGGTTGCGAGGTTCTAAGCGGTGACTGATGGCCTACGCCCTGACCCAACGAAGCCGGGTCTCAATGCTAATTGCCAGCTCTCAGATGTCCATCCGCGGGTCGCGGTACCGCGCCAGCATCTGGCACAATCCACAAGCGGTGGAGCTGTTTCAGAAAACAATCAAGCCCGCACTCCCGCACAGCAAGGTTAGCAGGTCAACAAGGCCGGGTTGACGTCCCAGTAGTGGTCAGCTTGCCTGTCCTGCAGAAGCACGCCCGGGCAGCTAGCGCACCGGCAGACACCCAAGAGCTGCTGAAGCTTTGTGGAGGATGCAGTGAACTGGGCACATGGCATTCAGAAGCTTTCGAGCTTCGGGCTCGTTCCTGACGTGGCTCACCTTGAGACGGACGTCCCGCGGTCTACAAGCAGACACAAGAAGACTCTGCAAGAGTGCCTTCCAGTTTTTGAAGCTTCGCTGCTTCACCACACCCTCCCAAACGAGGACCTGACGAGAGCCCAAAAGCTCGGGAGCTCCTTGCTCGGACTCGCTCTGAGCCGCGCACGCAGTGGTCCTGGAGCTTGGGGGCCGTCACTTCATCCTGATCCTCATCGTCGTCGTCCTTCTGTGAGAGACGGGAGCGATGAAACGAAGTGAAATAGCGAAGAATCAGAAACGAAACGCTGTGCTGCAATTCCGCAGTTACAACGAGCAATATCCTGGGACCGGACAGCTGCAAGCTCCACTTCTGAAAAAACGTGGCAAAGTTTCGCACTCATGTCACATCATCAGGATCTATGCTGCACAACAGGGGCAGGAAGAAAAGCCATCGAGCAATCGCAGCCACTTGCGCAAACGGCCGATTTGGACTCCTCGTCGGCCTGTTCTTCTGTCCACTTGATCCGCCTGAAAAAGGGTGTGTTGGGAGGAGCCCCTGCGAGCACAGTCTGCGGCATTCAGCATGACAAGCGCCTGATCATCAGCTTCTTGTATCGCTTCACGGCACGTGGGCCACCCTCCACCACGACGATGTTGGCGACCTCGGCTCTGAGCTTCTGCCGCACCGAAATTGGGCCTCCAGCCGCCTCCAGCCGCTGGGGCTCTGGCCCCAGGGCAGGCTATGCAGCAACCGGTGAGGTGGAACTGCCTCCACAATTCTGTGAAGGGCTCAGGGCGTCAGAACTGGGATGCGGAGTGCTAGGCGAAAGGCGACTTTGCGGGACACAAGGCCCTCTTCGATTGAAACAAGGCGGCTCCACTGTGCGTTCATGTCGATCTTGAACAAATGCCTTGGCTGGCTTTCCCCGCACCCCGGCTGCAAATAGAATCTGCATGAATCTGTCAAGCACAACACCAATCACACGCCAAAGGTTGCACCCTAAGTCTCTCAGGCTCCACCCGGGGCCCATGCTTCTTGTTCGCAAGGTCCTTAATCTTGAAGACCAGCACCTCCATACTGGGGTCTTGGGCATTTGTACTTAAAGCTTCGAATAGCTTCAAGATCTTCCACGACGGTTTGGAGTCTGGGCTCACCTGACGACGACTGCTCGTGGAAGCAAGTAGGAACGCAGAAGCCTGTAATAGGACTCAATGAGCACTCTTGCAAAGCCCAGCGTGCCTGGACAACCGGCTCGCTTTCGGCCATCCTTGCTTGATTCCAGTTAGATTTACGACCAACAACGCAGCGCGCCCTGAATGGAGAATTCCTCTCATCAGTTGGCTGATGACTCGGCATGAAGCTGGAGATGCTTGCATGACGACGCAGCACAAAGATTGGGACAGGCGACTGCGAAGAGGCTCTGCTTCTGCGTTACATCCGAAAGCCGATCTTGAGCCCTTGCGGCAAAGGAGCCATTTCTGCTTTTTCTTCTGCTTTCGCTCTTCTGCGGGAAGCCTGCGCGCCTGGCAATGCGAAAGAAATCTCCAAAGCATTCTGCAACCCTTGAAAAAGTGCTTTCAAGCCCTAGCCGCGTTGTGGTAGACGCCTCATTGCGCTGCTCGTGCTCCTTCCGCCGTTGCTCCACCTGCTGCCTCGCACATCAAGGCTGTACACACAGGTGCAGGCCTACCTCTTCTTGAACCATCTTCCTGAGGTAGCATACACGGGGCGTGCAGTGCTGGAGACCAAAGCTCAAAACCCCTAAACCCCCTCTTCAATCGTGTCAATGCCCGCATGATACCTGTAGATGAAACCAGGCAAACCACATCAAGTACAGTAGGAGGAGGAGGAGTACTACAAGAAGCAGTAGTAGTAGTAGTCGTCGTGGTGGTGGTGGTAGTAGCCGCAGAGGAGGTGGCAGCGGTAGCCGTAGAGTTGGGGTAGCTGCTACTACTACTACTACTACTACTACTACTACTACTACTACTCATACTGCTACTGCTACTGCTACTGCTACTGCTACTGCTACTGCTACTGCTACTGCTACTGCTACTGCTACT